AATTATCAGCCGAACCGAAAGGCAACCTCTTGAAAACCCTGAGTTCACTATATCTTAGTGGTCGTCCTCCTGGCATGGGGCTTATACATCCCAATCTATGATATGTGAACAGGGGCCTTTTTTAAAGGTTGACAGAGGCTAGCCAAGTAGGAGAAATCTGATAAGAAGGTAAAATCCTGAGCTGACCTGGTACGGGGTTTATATGTCCCGGAGGCTCACGTGGAAGAGAGGAAGGATCATGGGTCAGGCATTAAGTTCCCATGAAATAAAAATCATTGAAACGGGAGAGACAGCCCTTAAGGAGGCTTCCCGTCCCCTAGGTGTGCCGTTCAGTTTCCATTGACATTCCCGAGGAGCCTAAACAAAAAACTTCTCCCTCAGATGCCGATCCCTCTAAAACCCCCCCACCCATCTCTAACATTTATCCCGCCCTTACTTCCTTCTCCACAAGACACCGCAATGATGAGTTACCCCCCGAAGATCAGGCTACCCTAGAGGAAGAAGCTGCCTGATATCATAATCCCGACTGGCCTCTCCTCGCCTCCGCCTCCCCTCTTCAGCCCCCTCCCTATATTAAACCCCTTCCCTCCTGTTTTAAACCCCTTCCCTCCAGAGACCCCTTCCTAGCCCCAATTTTAGAGCCATTCCACACCTCTCCCGCTTGCTCGGATCACATCCGTCAAGCTAAAGTTACCCTATCTCAAGAGATCTCGTCCTTAAAAGAAATTCTCCTACTAAAGCGTGAGCATGTTCAACTCATTAAAGAAATCCAAGCCCTTGAGGCTGAACTCACCACTTTAACTTCTGCCCCTACAAAAACTACCGAAAAAAAGCCCCCTAAACTCCCTAAGCCCAAGCCCACTATCCATGCCTTCCCTGTCACCCGCAGCCAGAACCCCATATTCCCCCCAGAAGAGCAAGAGAAAGAAGAGGAAGACACTCCCGATTCCCAGAACCAAGATCAAAACTCAGCCAGTGACGCTTCAGACACAGATGACCCTGTCCCAGATCAGCCCCAGGCTAAAGGCCAAAAATACCACCGCTTAAACCTTAAACATTTAAAAGATTTAAAAGCAGCTGTTAACAGCTATGGTCCCACGGCTCCCTTCACCTTGACCCTACTTGAAAGCTTAAGCGATCGGTGGCTAACTCCTAATGACTGGCTTTCCTTAGCTCGAGCCATGCTATCCGGGAGTGAATATGTCCTTTGGCGTACAGATTTTGTAGAGAACTGCTGAGAAACGGCACAGCGCAATAGCGAGAGTAAAATTTCCCGTTCGTGGACTCGAGACAAGCTACTTGGCCAGAGTCCTTATGACACCAATGAGGCACAAGCAGCTTTCCCCCCTGGCCTATTAGCACAGATACAAAATGCCGGCCTTAAGGCTTGGCGGCGCCTTCCCCCCAAGGGTTCGGCCACCACTTCTTTGGCCAAGATTCGCCAAGGACCCAATGAACCCTATAGTGATTTTGTCAGCCGCCTAACTGATGCCACTGAGTGATTAGTCGGGGAGGGAGAAACAGAAAGCGCCTTTATTAAACACCTCGCTTATGAAAATGCCAACCCATCTTGCCAGGAAACTATTAGACCTCACCGCTGCAGTAGCCTCTCTGATTATATCAAACTCTGCTCAGGAATAGGAACCTCCCATGCCATTGGACTGGCCATAGGGGCCGCCCTTAAAGATTTTACAAAAAATACACAGGAAAAAACATGCTTCGCCCAAACCGGTTTGGCTCAGTGGTAGAGCATCGGTCTGGGGACTGAAGGATCCTGGGTTCGATTCCGGTCGGGGGCATGTACATTGGTTGCGGGCACATCCCTGGTGGGGGGTGTGCAGGAGGCGGCTGGTCGGTGTTTCTCTCTCATCGACGTTTCTAGCTCTCTATCTCTCTCCCTTCATCTCTGTAAAATATCAATAAAATATATTTTTTAAAAAAAAGGAAAAAACATGCTTCAATTGCAAACATTTTGTTCGTGACTGTCCAACAGGGAAACAGTCTCGACCGCCCCCTTCATCAGTCTGTCCTAAATGCAGATGCCGCAAACATTGGGCAAATGAATGTCACTCAAAAACAGACATTGAAGGTAAGCCCATTCCTCAGAAATGGGGAAACTTCCAGAGGGGCCAGCCCCTGCCCCCACCCCAGGAACAGAACCAAGGGGCAATCCGGTTCATTCCCCAGACTCAAAATCAAGCAACATCAGGTATTAACCATTTTTACAGATAGATCCAGTTCTAGAAAGGCTAGATATACTACAGCAGAGGAGTAAAGGTCCTTCAAACCTCTTACCTTAAAAGAGTTTTATCAGATTCAGTAATAATGCGGGGCTAGGAGTGGCTGTACATTCTTATACTAAATTATCTAATCAATTACCATTAATGATCCCCAAGACCAAATTGACTCCTTAGCTGTAGTTGTTCTACAAAATAGGAGAAGGTTAGACTTACTCACAGCAGAGCAGGGAGGGATATGCTTAGCCCTACAGGAACATTGCTGTTTCTACGCCAACAAGTCCAGAATCATCTGGGACAAGATCAAGAAACTACAGGAAGACCTGATAAAGCAGCAGAAAGAACTGTTCGAGAACCCTCTCTGGAGCGGACTAAACGGACTTCTCCCCTACCTTTTCTCCATCCTGGGCCCCCTTGTATTAGTCCTATCCTTTGGCCCCTGGGCTTTTCGGAAATTAACAGATCTTGTAAAACAACAACTTGATTCCATCCTAGCCAAACCCATCCAGGTACACTACCATCGCCTAGATATGATTGACCGCGAGCTGGACTATAATACTCGCCAGAGCTCCCTCCCTACAGGGGACAGCATGATGACCAGAGGAATGCTTACCTACTCCTCACCGGGAGAAAGGTATGGGGTACCGATCTGGGTGCAGAGCAAAGCATTGCAAGGGAAGGTCCAAAAAATTTGCCGACCCCCTCTTCCCAAGGGAAGGTCACGGGAAAATTTCGACCCCCTCTGGATTTCCCTGTGAGTATACCTGGTTTGCATAGAGGTTGGTATCGATACAAATCCAATCCGCTCTGCCTCTCCTCCCCAAAAGATACCAAGAGCCGCTACTAACACTGGTGGGCCTGGGAAATCCACAGGAGGAACCAAGTCACTACTCCCACAATCGGTTAAGGCCCACCCTCAATAAGACAAAGAGGGAGGAGATGTTGGGAGCCATCAGAGTTGAGACAAGCAACTCTGCCTTAAGAAAATACAGCTCCATCTTAGAATTAAGTTCCTTCCAGCGAAAGTTATGTGGTGCCCTGAGGGTTTGGCCAGAAGCTAAAGATTAACCTGCCGCTTAGCATCTCTGCAACTTCCCCTTCCTGATCCTCCCCCATAGCTAGCCCAGCCTCTGAATGTTACACCCTGGCAGTTAGCCAATCCTGTGTTGCCAGATACCTTACCACCTTGTCACTCAGTGCCTAAACCAATTATACACTGCCAAAGACCCCTCTGTGTAGGCAACCCTGCCCCCCTTTGTTCCTGCTGTATATATACTGCCATTTAAAAAAATAAAGTTTGAGGCTTGATCAGAACTTTGTCTTGCCTCCATTTCTTCGCATCTCCTGTCCTCTATCATTCCCTTCTAGGTGCCTCCTCGCCCCCACATTGATCTCCCGCTGGCAGGGACAACTTGCCTTATTTATAACATTAAGAATCATCTGTTTGAATGAAAATGAGGTCCGGAATGGGGCTTGAGAATTTGAATTCCCAGTGAGCTCCCAGGAGAAAGGTGAGGAGGAGGTGGGAAGGGGGATAATGTGGGTAGAATCTGGGGCTTGAGGGCTCCTGGACTCCCCTTATCCCTTGAGCCAAACTTTTGGGAATATGCTGGACAGGTTCAGCAAAGAACCTGGGACAGGTTCAGCAAAGAATCTGGGCCTGAACAGCATGTCAGTGATGCTCATTACTGAAGGCAAACTACTTTCATTCATTGAAAAAATGATCTGGTTTGTGCTGGGGAGGAATCCATGTTAATCAGGTTATGCTCCAGGACCAGAAAGAAATAGTGATAACTATAATGTACCAGTGCCCAAAGCTCAAGGTAAACAGATTAGGCATTGAAGCTGCCCTTTAATTTTTTTTTTTTTTTACTATATGATTTCATTTATATATGGAACCTATAAAAGGCTAATTCATAGAAACAGAGACTGAAATGGTAGGTACCAGGGGCAGAGGCATGGGAGAAATGGGGAGATGTTGGTCACAAACTTCCAGTTTTAAAATTAATAACTTCTGGGAATTGAATGTATAGCATGGTCATTTTAGTTAATAGAACTGTTCAATGTATTTCAAAGTTGCTAAGAGAGTAGGTCTTAAATATTCTTACCGTCACAAAAAAAAAAAAATGGCAGTTATGTGACGTGATAAAGATGTTAGCTAACCTATGGTGGTAATCATTTTGCAATATACAAATATATCAAATCAAGGCATTGTACACTTTAAATTTACACAATATCAATTATATCTCAACTAGTTGCCCGGTGCATGGATTCCTGCATATTAAAAGTAAACTAATTAGAAGAAAGATTTATGTGGTAATTACATTACTGCAAAAATTACATTTCAAAATAGTATATATAGCATTATAAAATTAAAATACAAAATTAAATTGCCAGTATGCATCATATATACCAGCCAGATGGTTATGAGAGATTGGCTCCAGTGAGAGCTTTATATGTATCATGCATGTGGGAGTCAACATTTATTTTTAAATTGCCAGTCTGTGTCTTATGTACCAGCCAGCTGGTCAGTTGGATGGACGGTTGGTCACTTAGCCATAGATAGATAGATAGATAGATAGATAGATAGATAGATAGATAATAGATAGATAAAGATGGGGCACAGTTTTAAAAATAATTTTCTGCTCTTTCCTTCTCTTCCTCTTAGAGTTAAATATCTTGCTGGCCTTTATTTTTCATGAAATAACTGGGACCTTCCTTCCTATTAGAGGTCCCTTCCTTGTCTTTGCCCCAAGAACTCACCTGTAGCATTCCCAGCTGCAGCCTGTAGAGCAGGTTTCGGGCTGTAGGTGTAGACACAATGAGGATTCTCCTTTTCTCATAAAACTGATCCAGAAGTGCCGCAGCTGTTCTGACACCCACATTGATATTCATAGCTGTGATTAAAAAAGGCCATATAACTTAGAAATGGTCTACTCATCCTTGTATGCATATATTCATGGCCCATAGACACAGACCATGGGGTTGTGAGGGCCTGGGGGGCAGGGGGAGACAGGGGAAGAGGCTGGAGGGAGTCAATGGGGGGAAAGGGGGACATATGTAATACTTTCAACAGTAAAAACTTATTTAAAAATATAATAAATGAATAAATTTTATAGGACTCCCCAGATTGCTCATCCAGAGGTGAGACCCAATAGCTTTCACCTCATTAGATTTAGACTCCCGCCTAAATGAAAAGCAAGAAAAACAACTGTATTTACTTTTTTTAATAAAATTTTTAATTAAATTTACTGGGGTGACATTGGTTAATAACATGATATAGGTTTCAGGTGTACAATTCTATAATACATCTTCTATATATTATATTGTGTGTTCACAACCCCAGGTATTGATTTCCTTTTCAGAGAATCTTTTAGTGTCTTTAAGCCTGTCACAACTTAAAAAGAAAGGAAGAAAGAAATTTGTTCTGGCTCCACCTAGCCTATGATGACACGCAGAACCATTTGTGTAAGACGTGGGCCCTGAGATAAAGATTCTGTTGCAAGCAGTTATTCACCAGGTGCTCTCAAGAAGCACTGGTAGATTGGGGAAGTATATTAGTTTCCTTTTTGTGAGCTTTTTTTTTTTTTTATAAAGTTTATCTACATTATTTAGATAGATTGTTTTATTAAGACTTATGAGTATACTAGAATTATTTCTAGTTATAATTTAGCAAAATGTACATGAGAGTTATTTTCTGCCATGAAGAAAATGTGATATTTCAAGTGAGAAGGAAAATAGGGAAGGCAACTTTGGGGTTTACAGCTTAGTTCAGTATCTACCCTGTTTTCCCAAAAATAAGACAGTGTCTTATATTAATTTTTGCTCCCAAAGATGCGCTAGGTCTTATTTTCAGGGGATGTCTTATTTTTCCATGAAGAAGAATACGGTACACATTTATTGTTAAATGAAAATAAAGGAAATTTATTACCTGTATACGGCATGGTAGTACGGTAGTTGTCAACACAAACCAGACAAACTGAATCCTACAGTATCAAGAATTTACTCATTTATTCAATGACAATCATGTCATCATCTTCTGGAACATCATCATAACAATCCAATTCCTGAATTTCTTGGTGAATTTCTTGTGTCTCCATTTCTTTCAGAATCAGTGGACCAAATCTCTCATCTTTAGCAATAGCATTCTGAGACAGAGCCTAGGGGGGGGCCTTAATTTTCGGGGGAATGGCTTATATTTCACTCAGAAGGAAACCTGTAAGTAGGTCTTATTTTCAAGGATGTTTTATTTTCGGGGAAACACGGTAGTTACACAGTAATCTTATTGCCCGATTCTAACTGACTTAGAGCTACAAAGCCCACTCTGAAGGGCCTGCCACAAGTTATATATCTATATCTATATATCTATATCTATATATATATATATTCTCAAAGCATACCCCCATTAGCAATTCAGGCTTTGAATCAGAATGCCCTGGACTAGCAGTGCTGAATAATAAAAATTTTCTTTCTTGATTCCTCTGAGTGCTGACTGATGGTTCTCCCGGGATATTTGAAGAATTGCTGCCACAGCACAAAGAACTTTGGAAACACTAAATATTATTTCAAACACTTAGAACTTGGCAGTAAGATCTAAAATATAATGAAAGTTGGTGTTTTGGTCATTATTTAAGACTTAAAAATTTTGAAACACATTACTATTCCAAACTCTTTAATATTCAATTTTATTTAAGTGGTGAATTCCTCTAACAGTTTATATTCCATGTGTATATTAGGTCCTTATGAAAATCTATTCATTGGTGCTGTGTTACACAAATGACCCATAAATAGAACATTGTTTTGAATCTTATAAATATTAGCCCTAGTAGAACTGTAAGATGCTGGGCAATAAAAATGTGGATATCTGAAAAAGATTACAAGGGTAATATTCTTTCGCCTTTGGGTGCCTGGTTGAGCTCTAAGCCATATTAGTTTCCTTTTATTGCTGTGACAAATCACTAGAAACTTAGTGGTTTAACACACCAATTTATCCTAACAATCCTGACCATCACAAGTCTGAAATGGGTTTCCCTGGCCTCAGTCAAGGTGTTGGCAGAACCACCAGATTTTTTAAAATATATATTTGAATTGATTTCAGAGAGGAATGGATGGAGAGAGAAATAGAAATATTCATAAACATCCATGATGAGAGGGTATCATGGATTAGCTGCCTCTTGCACTGCCCCCCTCCCACTGGGGATCAAGCTGTGACCTCCTGGTTCATAGGTTGATGCTCAACCACTGAGCCACACTGGCTGGGCTGTGTCCATAATAATTTTCTGTGGCTCTAACAGCAATTCTGCCTCCCTCTTCTAAAGACCCTAGTGATGACATTGGGCCACTGTGGAGAATACAGTATACTTGGCCCACCTCAAAATCTTTTAACACCAAGACTCATGCAATGACCCTTTGGCCATGTCAGGGAACCTATTCACAGGTTCTGAGGATTATCTGTGGACATGGGGAAAAGGGGCCGGAGAGAGTCATTATTCTTCCCACTTCAGGACATGAAATGGGGAAGCAAAGAGATAACTTAATTTCTTTTTCTTTTTCTTTCTTCTTTTTCCTACCTTCTTTCCTTCCTTCCTTCCTTCCTTCCTTCCTTCCTTCCTTCCTTCCTTCCTTCCTTCCTTCCTACCTTTCTTTTTTCTTTCTTCTTCTTTCTCCTTCCTTCCTTCCTTCCTTCCTTCCTTCCTTCCTTCCTTCCTTCCTTCCTTCCTTCCTTCCTTCCTTCCTCCCTTCTCTCTCTCTCTCTCTCTCTCTCTCTCTCTCTCTCTCTCTCTCTCTCTTCCATTCCCTTCCATTCCTTTCTCTTCCCTCCTCTCTCTCTCTCTCCCTTCCCTTCCCTTCCCTTTCCCTTCCCTTCCCTTCCCTTCCCTTCCCTTCCCTTCCCTTCCATTCCATTCCTTTCTCTTCCCTCCTTCTCTCTCTCTCTCTCTCTCTCTCTCTCTCTCTCTCTCTCTCTCTCTCTCTCCCTTCTCTCTCTCTCTCTCTCTCTCTCTCTCTCTCTCTCTCTCTCTCTCTCTCTCTCCTCTCTCCTTTTTAATCGTCATCTGATATTTTTCCATTGATTTTCAGAGAGAGGGAATTAGAGGGAAACATTAATTAACAGAAACACATTGATTGGTTGCCTTCTGCATGCACCCCCACCAGGGCCTGGGCTGGGGGGAGGAGCCTGTAATTAAGGTAAGTGCCCTTGACAGGAATAAAATCTGGGACCCTTTGGTTCTCAGGTTGGTGTTCTATCCACTGAGCCAAACCAGCCAGGGCTGTAGCCTGGTTTATTTCTTTTTCCCCACCTATTTCAGATACAGCAGTGAAAACATGAAAAATAAAACATGCTTTATAAATACAATGCATTTGCCCATCTGGCACTGGCATGGCTCAGTGGTTGAACATCCACCTCCATCCCCAGTAGGGGAGTCATGCAGAAGGCAGCCAAGTCATGATTCTCTCTCATCATTGATGTTTCTTTCTCTCTCCCTTTCTAAAATCAATAAAAATATATTTTAAAAAAGAGGGATTGCATTGAACTTTTCGAAGCATGTAGAATGAAACCCTTCTTCCTTGTACTTGAATCCAGAAGCAAGGGATTTCCAGGTTCTGCTACCAGGGACAGAGTAGGCTGAATACGTACCTGTACATGTGGGCTCTGTGCCAGACCAAGCCAGATTAGACTGACATACTCTGGCAGGGCTACCCTGGAGCTCATAGCCGCCGATGCAGGAGAACTCGCAGGTAGCTCCATAATTATCCCCGTCGCTGGAGCACTTCATGTAGCCATTCTCGGGGGCATTGAGTTTTCCACAGCGTTTGACTGTAGGAACACAAGCCCAAGTAGTTCTCAATGTTGAACTCCCCTCCCCAGAGTAACTAGGGAAAGTGAGATCTCAGATGCCCCAGCATTGTCATCAGGCTTCTACATCATGGTGTAAAATGAGTGCAGGGGCAGTCATGGCTATCTGGCCAGGGGGTGGGCTTTGGAATGGTTATTGTTCATGCCAGCAAGACCATTGAGATCAACTAGTTTAGTCCTATGTTTTATATGAAGAAGTTGAACACAGAAGACTACAGAGTAAAGATTTTTTGTAATTAGCCCTAGCCAGTTTGGCTCAGTGAATAGAGCATTGGCCTATGGACTGAAGGGTCCCAGGTTTGATTCTGATCAAGGACACATGTCCAGATTGAGGGCTTGATCACCAGTGGGGGATGTGCAGGAGGCAGCTGACCCATGATTTTCTCTCATTATGGATGTTTCTAACTCTTCCTCTCCCTCTCTGAAAACAATAAAAAATAATAAATAAATATCTTTCCAATTTAAAAAAAAGCAGTAAATTAGCTGCCCAAACCATGAGGCTTAAAATAAACTTGAAAAATAATTTTTTCCAGATAGACCCAAGGTTTTAGGATATAAAAAATATGGGCCAGTGGCCCAATTTAGAAAGCTTCTTACCTCCATTCTAGAAGTACTTGAAGGTGGTAGCTAGTCACCCAAGCCCAGGGATGTAAAGATTATCAAATAATATGTTTCTAGGATGGCTGGAGATGGGCTCATGTAAGACTAGTTCATTGCTATCTCTTAAGTGGCCAGCCCTGAACCTCATCCATGTTTATATTGTGAAATTCAGGCATTAAGAATTGAATCCCAATATAAATAACAAAATAAAGGGATGAATGGAGAGAATCCAGAGACATGGAAGCATGAAACAGAGTGAAGAATCTCAGAGTGAAGACAGGGGATGGTGAGTAGGAGGTAATCAACCAAAGACTTTGTATGCATATATGCATGGCCCATGTACACAGATAATGGAGTGGTGAGGGCCTGGGGCAGGAGGAAAGGGTGGGCTGGGAGGGGGTTTGATGGGGGAAAAAAAGGAGACATATGTAATATTTTTTAAAAAGAAAAAAAAGTGATTCCAAGATGGGACGTATCCATATAATAGTGGGTGCTCAAAGAAGGTTCCCTTTGTTGTTGTAAAGAGGGTGGAAAGCCAATAAGCAATAGTCTTACCTCTTACTTTAACTCGAAATTTGCAAGTGCCCTTGTTCTCTGCTCGGTCATAAACTGTGTACTGGATCTTATGGTCTCCTTCTGGAAAATTTGAGCCTGGGGGGAAGCCTTTGAGAATAACACTTAAAGAGGGGAAAAGAACAGAGCAAAGACAATCATTATGGTCCTAGCAACCCTTAGGCCATTGTGGGCCTAATGATCATAGATAATCATGATCAGCATGTGTTGAGCACCCAGCAGAGGATGCCAAGACACAGAGGGGCAACCATTAGGCCAGTGTAACTAGAAAAAATATGGAATAAAGATTATAATTTTGGCCCTAGCTGGAAAGAGTGTCAGCCTGCACACTGAGGAGTCCCAGATTCAATTCTGGTCAAGGGCACATGCCCTAGTTGCAGGATTGATCCCCAGTAGGGGGCATGCAGGAGGCAGACAATTCATGATTCTCTTTCATCATGGATGTTTCCATCTCTCTCTCCCTCTCCATTCCTCTCTGAAATCAATAAAAATATATTTTAACAAAAGATAATGTGAAAAATGAGACTAAAGATAGACTCCAAGATCTATATATAATTTTCTAAGCTTTACTTTGTTTTAGAAGAGCTGTTTAAGACAAGAAAATGGAAATCTCCAATTCCTGGGAATTTTATATTTAATTTTCTCACTGGATGTTAGAACAGAGGATGGGGGAAGCAGAGAATCTAGGGTCTTAGTCTTCAGAGTATATTCTAAGCAGTCCTTCACCAGATGGGCCTGCAGAGGGGACTATCAGGGCCAGTAGAGACCTTTCGTAGCAAAAGTTATGCTTCATGGTGATTCCTTGGTGATACTACTAATAAGTATACTAATATTGTTCTTTGTAGTCATATATACCTTATATATGTCAGGCATTATTCTAGGCATTTCTCATATAGTAGTTTATTTCATCCTCACCACAACCCTATGAGGTATATATTATTATTGCTGCATCCATTTGCAGCAAGGGTTCATGATCTGAAGTAGGGGCCATGCACAAATGAAAACACTAGACAAGAAATATGAATTTAGAAGGCATGGGGGGGCCAGGTGGAAACTTCACTCTGGTGGGAAGATCTCTGACTTCTGGGTCTGGTCTGCTTTTATTCACTTAAATACACATTTGCCCTTTAGGAATGCATACAGGTATATCAAAGGTAAAGTTTGGTAAACAGTAAAAGGATTATCAGGTTAGGAGATTTCCTCGAGCCATTTGGCCAACAGCTGGGCAATATTATGTTGATTTTCAGCCCTGTGGTTTTAGCCTCTGGAATTTATTTTATTTATTAACATTTTATTTTATCTTTAAATATATTTTTTATTGATTTCAGAGAGGAAGAGAGAGGAAGAGAGAGATAGAATAACAATGTATGGTGTTACATGGTACTAGATTTATTAGGATGATAACTTTGTTAGTTATATAAATTTCTAATCACTGGGTTGTGCACCTGAAACTATACTGTATCTCAACTCTAAATAAAAAAAAAATATTTTTTACAAAAGAAACATCAATGATGAGAGAGGATTGTGGATCAGTTGCCTCCTGCATTTTGAACCCACAACCTGGGCATGTGCCCTTGACCAGAATTGGACCCAGGATCCTTTAGTCTGCAGGCTGGTGCTCTATCCACTGAGCCAAGCCAGCTAGGCTAGGGCTCTTTACAGTTCTTAATAGTGATGAAAATATTTCCAAATAATGGACATGTGAAAGTATCATTGTTACCACTGGGGAGAACCTTATACCTTAGAACCTTATCTAAGATGGCTGTTTACAAGGTATGAAGAGAGGGACCTTGGGAAAGTTCCAGAAATCTTACCATGAGAAACATGTCACTTTGGGCCTTAGATGCTTTAAGGTCCCCAGGAAGCATGACTGAATTGCAAATAAACCTGGGAGCAATTGTACTTCAAATAGAAGTGGCTGCTAACCTCTTGGAGACTATATTCTTTTGTGATGCACAAATAACAGTTGTGAGAAATAAATCAGGGATCTCACAGGAAGCACTTATTACAGAGCTTGACACAAGAATCCTCCCTCTTATTAGGAGACTGTATAACAATACTGTGCATAAGGCATGAGGGCCCAGCCAGAGTAGCTCAGTCTTGAGCATTGACCTATGAACCAGGAGGTCAGGGTTCAATTCCCACTCAAGGGCACACGCCTGGGTTGTGGCCTCCATCCCAGTACAGGGGACACAGGAGGCAGCCAGTCAATGATTCTCTCTCATTATTGATGTTTCTGTATTTCTACCCCCTCTTTTCCTCTCTGAAATAAATAGAAAATGTATGTAAATAAAAAGAAATGTATTTTTAAAGCATTTTAGATGTATGTTAAAGTATAAGTGCAATTGGCCTGGAGAATGGGGTTGAGGTGGGAAAGAAGGCAGGAGACCCTTATGCCTTTTTAAAGAAGACTCTTCTGTAACAAGTTTAAAAAATAAATTAAAAATAAAATGTTTTGCCCTAGCTGGTTTGGCTCAGTGGATAGAGTGTTGGCCTGTAGACTGAAGGGTCCCAGGTTCAGTTCCCGTGAAAGGCACATGCCTGGGTTGTTGGCTCAATTGACAGTAGGGGGTGTGCAGGAGGCAGCTAAGTTATGATTCTCATCATGGATGTGTCTGTATCTCTCTTCCCCTCTCTTCCTCTCTAAAATCAATTAAAATATATTTATGTACACTAATGAAAGATGCAAATTGACTGTACCTTTGCAATGCCTCACACCAGCCAATTAGAAGTGAGCATGCAAATTAACACAACAAAGATGGCGGGTTAATTTGCATACACAGGCACTGGGGGTAGGACACTTGCATCGTCACCATGGTGACAATGCAGGCATTCCGTACTGCCCCAGGTGCTACAGGTCTCTGGGCAGCATGGGAAGGAGGAAAGGCGGCTCCAGCCCAAGGGAAGGTGTTGCCAGCAGCCAGGGGAAGGAAGGTACATTCTTGCATGACTCTTTGTACATCAGGCCTCTAGTTTATATATAAAAGAGGTAACATCATTCCATCTAACAAGTTTCACTCACTCAGTTAGAATGCCGTCTGCTGTGTCTCTTCCTTCAGGTGTATCCCAGGACACCCGGACTGTCAACTTATTGGGTTCAGCCATACGTTCCTTCACACTTGGGCACTTGATTCTCGGAGGTTCCATATCTGAAAACATACTAGAGTATTCTCACCATCATCAAGAAATTATCTCATCCACTTGGGGTTTGACACCCAGCGTTTGACACGCTCAAAGGTCTAGGCACTCCTCATTTATGTTTTTGTTGTTCTTTAAAATACATTTTTATTTATTTCAGAGAGTAAGGGAGAGGGAGAGAGATATGTACACATCCATGGTGAGAAAGAATCATGGATCGGCTGCCCCCTGAACACCCCACACTGAGGATTGAGCCAGCAACCTGGGCATATGCCTTTGACTGGAATAAAATCTGGGACTCTTCAGTCCACAGGCCAACACTCTATCCACTGAGCCAAACTGGCTTGGGCAGTACTTCTCATCTTTGAAGGGTTTGTTCACTTTCCTATGTATTTCTCTTTCTTCATCTTGCTCCTTATCTCTTGCTGAGATTTAAGATGGTTTGGGTACTCACATGTGCATGGCTAATCCTGCATTCAACTGGCCTTGCTAGGTGTTGTTTGGCAAAATTTATTGGCTATAGCTTCTTTTTCCCTATGTTTCTAAATTTTTCCTACTGACTTGACAATATAGCAGTAACCCAGAAAAAGGTAGAAGGCATTCAGCCATAGTGAGTCTCTCCTATTTTAAAAACAGCATCATAAAACATTACAGAAAGGTACCTTAATTATCACTCAGTTCAATGAGTGATAATTCAACACCACAAATATCATTCCAACTCCTAGGGTTGAAGTCCACAAAGGCAAGAGAATCATGTGATTCTCAAAGAGTTTACAGTCCATTAAGGGGATTATATCAGCACACATAGAGTATGACATGAGGTAGAAATAGCACTGCCTCAGGAGAAGTAAAAGAAAATGCTATGGAGGATTACAGAAGCCACACAATGTTTTCATTTTACAGATATATAAGCTGTGGCACAAAGAGATTAAGTGACTTATTTAAACCCATGCATGTACATAGTGACAGTGTGAATTGGAACCTAAGTATGAGCGATTACCCCTAGAACAAGCCCTGGAACAGCTCAGGGTCTATCAGAAAGACAAATATACAATATCTGCCCCTTTCTGGTCAAATATAACCAGCAATTTCATAATAGAAAGCAAGCATATTTAAGAATGTAAAGCCCAAGTGTCCATCAGTAGATGAGTAGATAAAAAACAACTGTGGTACATTTACACAATGGAATACTTGGGCATAAAAAAGAAGGAAATCTTACCTTTTGTGACAGTTTAGAGGGACCTTGAGTGTATTATGCTAAGTGAAATAAGCCAGTCACAGAAAGACAAATACCATGTTGTCACTTATATGTGGAATCTACTGAACAAAATAAACTAAAAATAGAAACAGACCCATAGATACAGAAAACAAACTGACAGCTGTCAGAGGGGAGGGGGGTTGCAGAGCTGGGTGTAAAAGGTAAAGGGATTAAGCAACACCCCCCCAAAAAAAATTCATAAGCTCATATAATAGTATGATGATTGCTAGAGGGAAAAGGGGTGGAGGGAGGCAGAAGAGGATAAAGGGGAGATAAATGGTGACGGAAGGAGACCTGAATTGGAGTGGTGAACACACAATATAATATACAGATAAGGTATTATAGAACTGTACCCCTGAAACCCATATAATTTTATTAATTAATGTTGCCCTAATAAATTCAATATTTTTATAGAAATATATATATATATATATATATATTTCAGAGAGGAAGGGATATATATATATATATATATATATATATATATATATATATATATATATAGAAACATCAATAATGAGAGAGAATCATGGATAGGCTGCTTCCTACATAACCCCCCCTGCCCACTAGGGATTAAATGCACAACCCAGGCACATAGCCTTGCCTGGAATTGAATCCAGGACCCTTCAGTTCCCAGGCCAACACTCTATCCACTGAGCCAAACTAGCTATGGCTAAATAGAAAAAATTTAAAGCAGAAGGGGAGGAGATAGATTTCAATGTATAATTACATTGCCCTACTACCTTTTGTTGGAGCAACATTGTTAGAGTGAAGAGATTCTCTTAGTTTCTGTGTCATGTACACTAAACATCTGGATAAGTTGTTTTCTGTATCATTGAGATATAATTACACTATGAGCTCTAAATTAGGTAACCTGGGTCATGAGTCTCAAAGTTTCACAAAGCCAGTTTATGGATAGCTAACAATGATCCCTCAAAAATGACCTAGTTTTTCTGAAGCAGGGATTTTCAAACAGAGAAATAAGAAGAAATAAATTACTAAAAATAATGGTGAATGTTGACTAGACCCTCATCCATGCCCACCTCAGGCTAACTTTCTATCTCTGCATTATGTCATCGGATTATCACAACTACCCACTTGAGGAAGGATTGTTATTATTATCATTCTCCTCACTTATAAACTGGAAAGCATTTCTTCACATTTGGAGTTTTTGTGTGGTCTGGGATTTTAAGACATAATCAAGGATTTTTAAATTATGCTAATAAGTCAAATGCTTCTGTGTGTATCTGCCTGCTCTGACTTGGTATTTCCCTCCAACCTCTGCACACATATTCTCTTTTTTTCTTACCAAGGTGACTATTGACTGTCCAGAATATGGGACAAGTGTAAAAGAGTGAGAGGGGGTCACCAACCACTATGTAGGCAGCAGTGGGACATCCCTAGATATCAGAGAACACCAGAGTTAGCAAGAACTGTAAGAATACCTGTGTGGAGTAGAGGAGTGAGCATGGCAACCTACACATCCCATTCTAATAATAGGGGGACCTATAATCTGATAGATAGAGCACCTGAGTTAACCTTAAAATTAATATTATTTTATCTTATTTTTAAATATGTCTTTATTGATTTCATAGAGGAAGGGAAAGGGAGGGAGATAGAATACCCATAACGAGAGAATCATGGATCGGCTGCTTCCTGCATGCCACATATTGAGGATCAAGCCTATAACCTGACCATGTGCCCTTGACCAGAATCTAACCTGGGACCCATCAGCCTGCAGGCCAACACTGCATTCACTGAGAGATTGAGCCCGAAATTCGGGCATATGCCCTGACTGTGAATCAAACCATGACCTCCTGGCTCACAGGTGGATGCTCACACCAGCCTGGCTAATCAAATTATTAAAAATCTTAGAACACATACTTATGTGAGTAGGGATTGAAGCTTCTTATATATAAATAGGAGGTTAAGTTTTTCTTAAGTTTCCTTTTCAAGGCCTGTGTGGAGTGATGGAGGAGATGACTCAGTTGTGAATCAAGTAAGCAGAACCGATAAGCAGGGTCAAGTCAACCCTCGAGGAGTCAAAATATCATCTCATCAACATCATCTCATCTCCTGACAATAGCTGACTATTTGCCAGCCTCCATTCCCCATCCCACTCCCTTTTATAGCCCGGTTCCCTTCATCTTGCCATAAGATAAGGCAGGATTTGATGCTTGTAAACACCCTGTTTTCTTGGTTGGCTGGCATACTTATTATAATAAACACTTTATATAATTCTACCTTGCCTTCATTATTGGATACAGTGACAAGCAGCCCGAGTCCAACCAGTGGTTTCCCGGTAACAATATCCCCCTCCCAGGTCAATCCTCCATAGTCAGAATGAGCTTAGGTCTTTGAATGAGTTTCAAGATGGTAGACATAGGTTGTGTTCAGCCATCCACAATGGGAAGGACATTTTCCAAATAGAAACAAGGCCAATGAGGTCAAGAAGAAGGCTTCCCGTCACCTGGAACCCACTTATGTTCTCTGCTTCCAGGTTTTGATGGGATTATGTTCATGATGATAATGTTAAACAAGCTCTTCTCTCCAATCTTAGTGCCATCAGAAGACTGTCCTTCAGTCTAGGTAAGAAAAACCTCATGGGTGATAGAAGTTGCCCGAAAGCCTGAGTGGGAGCTTGCTAGATAATTAAAGAAAGGGGCTAGGTGTTCAGGTAGAGGGAACAGCATGTGCAAAGACATAGAAGGGCTAGTTTCAGTTGCTAGAGCATGAGCCTATAAACTGAAAGGTCCCTGGTTTGATTCCATTCAAGGGCACATGCCTGGGTTGTGGGCTCGATTCCCAGTATGGGGTGTGCAGGAGACATTCCATCCATGATTCTTTCATCATTGAAGTTTCTATCTCTCTTTCTCCCTCTCCCTAAAAAACAAACAATAATATATATGAGACAAATGTAAGATAAAAGTCATCAGCTAGGGAGGATAGAGATTGAGGGTAGGTTTGGGCTGAGCCAGAGAATTTGGGATGAAGGAAGCTACTGAAAGCAAAGTTGGGTGCTCTGCTTTACTCACAGGACCTTAATGCATCCTTTTAAGCATCCTCTGTTTTTTCTAAAGTATGTGCCTCCTGAGGACTGTGATAGTTTCTTACCTACACAAGAGGCTGGTTGACCACTCCAGGCCTTGTTGTCCATACACGTGACTGTCCGCTCCCCTTTCAATGTGTATCCTGGTGAACAGTAGTACTCACACCTAGAGTTAAAGTAGGCACCATCTACGCACTTGAACCCTCCATTTACAGGCATGGCAAGTGTAGGACATCGCTTTTCTGAAACACAACAAAACAGACATTCAGCATTCCCTTGTCTTTGTCCATAGAATTTCAGTTCAGAAACCCTGAGAGCATAGGATGAAGAGTTAATTTAAATACAATGGACAACTACACTAGCTGGTTTGGCTCAGTGGTTAAGCCTAGTCCTATGAACCAGGAGGTCACGGTTTGATTCCTGGTCAGGGCACATGCCCAGGTTGTGGGCTCAATCTCCAGTCAGAGGCATGCAGGAGGCAGCCGATCCATGATTCTCTCTCGCCATGGATGTATCTATCTCTTCCTCTTCCTTCCTATCTGAAATCAGTAAAAATATATTTAAAAAATAATAAAATATATACAATGGACAACCAATTTGTACTTATTAATCCCTTCACCTTTTTCACCCACCACTCCAACCACTCCCCCCATTTAGAAACCATGGAAAAATGTTCTCTGCATATATGAGCTTATTTCTGTTCTGCTTACTTGTTTATTTTGTTTTTTAGTTTTAATTATTGATAGATATGAATTTATTGCCATTTTATAGTTCACATTACTATCTTTCTTCTTCTTAAAGAAGATCCTTTAACATTTCATATAATCTTGGGATAAAAATTTCAGATAAGGAAATATAATCAATAGCATTCTTTTTTAAAAACATGTTAATGTGTTCTACAGGCAAAGACTGCTGAGACCTGAATAGGACAGAAAGATGTCTGTGAATGCAGAATATTTTTTCTTTCTTTCTTATTAAATTCTTATTGCTGAAAGTCTCATTCCCCCCCCCCCCATTGACTTCTCCATGTCCGCTCCCAACTCCCAGCACAGGCCCTCACCCTCCTACTGTCTGTGTCCATTGGTATCAACAACATTCTAATAACAATGTATGGAGTCAGATAGGTATGAGGTTTATTAGGATAATCACTTAGTTATGTAATGTCTAATAATTGGGGTGTACATCTGAAACTAATGTAATAATGTATGTCAACTATAATTGAAAATAAAAAATGATGAAATAGTTAAGCTGGATATATATATGCGCGCGCACGCGCACACACACACACACACACACACACACACATACACACACACACATATATATATATATATATATATATATATATATATATATATATGCAGACCCTGAAACAATAATTTGTGTGTAAGGGATTTAGTAAGAAAGTGGTCCCAGGGGAGACCAGGGAGGGGTGGGGGAGGCAGGAGAGTAGGGGTGGAAACCATGCAAGGTAGCACCTGACAAAGTCAGCCTCAGTCTGCTCCGTGCAAGAAGATTGGGAGCATGAATGACACCTTGAGTTTTCCCTGCCACAAAACGTTCAACAAACAGCCTGTAAGAGCAAACGAATCTGACCCCAATAGGCCCTGAGGACCCAACATGGGGCTGGGTTACTCACGCTTACAGATGACCTTGTGGGACCATCGTTTGTTCGACTGGCAGATCAGTGGGGAAGAGCCATGCAGCTCATAGCCTTTCTGGCAGCGAATGTCACACCGGGTTCCCAAGGCTGTTGTGTAGTATCCTTCTTGAGGGGCCCTGCAGTACACATCTCCATACTTCACCTTGACAGGGGAGCACCATGGGGCATCTACAGGTGACAGAAACAAAGGAGGGGAGAGATAGGAAAGGACATCTTCAGAAAATGTGTTTCCTTGTTCTAGAAATCTCTGACTGACTGCATTTCAGATATTTTTATATTTTATTTATTTATTTATTTTGCATTCCAGATTTGGGACTTCCAAATAGTGCCTCATGTTTTTTAAGATGTCTCTGGATAGGGAAGTTAGGATCACAAGACTATGTGTCAGACATACATGAATATGGGTTCAGCTTCCTCCATGACTAACTGTGTGATCTTGGACATGTTACTTAACCTCTCTGAGTGGATGCTTATGCCTATGTCATGGGGCTCTTCTGAGGACCCCAAAAATAATACATACTAAGTGCCTAGCACAGTGCCTACCACATAGTAAACATTCAAGAAACAATTGTTCTTTTCAAGATTTCCTTTAATGAGACACATAATTTTCTTCAAGGCAATTGATAACATTGTGAACCCAAATCATCCATACATCTTGGCAGGAGAGTAACAGCTGTGAGAGGGGTGGGGTTTTGGGGTGGTTGAGTGAAAAAGGTAAAGGGATTAAACAAAAAAATTCATGGATTCAGACAAGAGTAGGATGATTCCCAGAGGGAAGGGGTGTGGAAGTAGAAAAGGGTAAAGGGGGGATAAATGGTGACTTGGGGTGACAAACACAAAGTACAATATATGGATGATGTATTATAGAATTGCACTCCTGGAACTTATGTAATTTGCCCTAGCTGGTTTGGTTTAGTGGATAGAGCCTTGACCTGCAGACCTAAAGGTCCTGGGTTAGTTTCCTGTCAAGGGCACATTAAAATAAAAAATATATATATTTAAAAATATATTTTAAAAAATTATTAGGGCAGGACTAGTTCACAGTGGGTACTGTACAATTAATGGGGACTGGTGAGCAGCTCCTTCCTTTTTGCCAGGCCTTCTTTCCACCTCAGCACCTGAGCTGTCAGGCAGTGGGGTGCATGCGCCATTATGTGGCCAGGAAGGAGAGCAGACCATGTTTGACTATTCCAGGAATCACTAAAATGATTCTTCCTCTATAAGAGACAGCAGATGATTAAATTCTTTTCTTTTCTTTTTCTTTTCTTTCTTTCTTTCTTTCTTTCTTTCTTTCTTTCTTTCTTTCTTTCTTTCTTTCTTTCTTTCTTCTTTCTTTCTTTATCTTTCTTTCTTTTCCTTCCTTCCTTCCTTCCTTCCTTCCTTCCTTCCTTCCTTCCTTCCTTCCTTCCTTCCTTCCTTCCTTCCTTCCCTTCCCTTCCTTTCTCTCTCTCTCTCTCTCTCTCTCTCTCTCTCTCTCTCTCTCTCTCTCTCTCTCTCTCTCTCTCTCTCTCTCTTTCTCTTTCTCTTTCTTTTTTTTCTTAGTTAATCCTCACCCAAGGATATTTTTCCATTGATCTTTAGGAAGAGTGGAAGAGAAAGGGAAAGACAGACAGAAACATCGATATGAGAGAAACTCATCAATTGATTGTATCCTGCATGAGCCCCAACTGGGGCCAGGCCAGGGAGGATTCTGCAACCAAAGTACGTGCCCTTGACTGGAATTGCACCTGGGACCCTTTGGTCTGCAGTCTGACACCCTATCCACTGAGCAAAACTGGATAGGGCAGATTAAATTATCCTAAAAGCCCCATCATGCATTAAAATTATATGGTTCAGCCCTAAACAGTTTGGCTCAGTGAATAGAGCATCAGCCTGTAGGCTGAAAGGTCCCAGGTTCAATTCTGGACAAGGGCACATGCCGGTGTTACAGGCTCAATCCCCAGTATGTGTGGAGGGGGGGCGGGGGGAGAGGGACATGTAGGAGGCAGTCAATCACTGATTCTGTCTCATCATTGTTGTTTCTATCTCTCTCTTCCTTTCCTTTCATCTCTGAAATCAATAAAAATATATCTTAAAAAAATAAAGTTGTAAGGTTCAAACTATTTCTTCTTTATCTCTGATCTGCTATCCATATCACACCCATGCCCACCTAAGTTACTCCTTTTTATTACTTTGGGTAGTCTCTTGTAACCCTTCCAGGTGAGGGAAAATCTTTTTTTTTTTTTTTTTTTGCATTCTGGGTCTTGGTCAAAATTCTATTGATATACAAACTGGAAGAGTGTCCAGTTCTCCACTTGTTTTTTTTCCCCCACTCCAATGTTGAAAACCTTCTCATCCTCCAGCTTCTGGACTTTGGCATGAGTTTAAGAGGGACAAAAATTTAGAGTAAAGGAAAATGAGGCAGGATACCTGCCATGGTTAGCACACACATTCTGGTTGTCTTTTCTACATGATGTATATTTAAGACTAGCAGGTGTGGCTTGGTGGTTGAGCATCGGCCTGAGGACTGAAGGGTCCTGAGTTCTATTTCAGTCAAGGGCACATGCCGGATTGTGGGCTCGGCCCCCAGTAGGAAGCATGCAGGAGGTAGTTGATCAGTGATTCTCTCTCATCATTGATGTTTCTATCTCTCTTCCCTATCATAAAGGAACCAGATTCAGAAAGAAATCATTTAAACTTACTTTCGCTTTCCCCAAAGTTCCCTAAGCTTCAGAGAATGACTCACAAATATAAATATTTGTGGGCATACTTACCTGAGCCTGCATAGGAAGGTTCTTGACTAGGCTTTTTACACTCTGGGGGAAGGATTGCTGAAAATGTGTAGAGATGGAGTTCTTGATCAAAGTTTCATGGGGCGACAGACTTTCCTCACCATTTCAAGAGCAAAGTTGGACTCAGAAAAAGCACAAGGAAATGAGCTTATGAAAATCAAGTTTTCTCAGTCCCCATTCATCTCAGTACATTAGCAGCTCTAGGTCCAGATTGGACCTTGGATGGTTTGCTCTGGACAATTCTGGCTGCAATGTATGAATCAGGCAGAACTCATAGCTTGATTTTCATTTTTATCAGCTAGAGCTTGGCTTTGCAGAGTTAATGACAGTAAAGAAACTTAGGAGAATAAAACAACCACTGGTGTGCTGAAGGTCAGCACTTCAGAGATTTCCAAAAGCTTTTTGTTTTCTTTATTTTTTTTTAATGGGAACAAATGTATATTAATTTTAAATATTTATTCTGGACAGATAATTAGAACTTAATGACACTATCTGGTCACTTTATTATAATATGCTCTGCAGGGCAAAAAGGAAAGTTGTCCTGGCATCAGCAGTCCTTATTAGCACAGAAGCAAAGCATTCACCTTTATATCTAGGGTGTGAGAACCCCACGTCATGATCTTCTAGCGGTGAATCTCCAGATCCTACAACAAAAAAGAACAGAAACTGCAGCAAGAAAAGCCATATGATACGGACAGATATTTCAAAGCATTGCTTTGGCACAGTCCATGCGAGAGGGGCTATTAGAACGCAGAGCCAGGAGTAAAAGCTTCTATGGTCATTCATGAAGGGACAGGGGGCCTCTCAGAGTGAACCTGGCTGGGCTGCACTGGCCAGAACCCATCAACATGAGCTTCAGACTGTTTGAGAATCAACATGTGCCAACTGAAATTCTGGGTGCGGGATTGAAAGAAAGTCAATCTCACTCTGAGGAGGTGCCACTGTACACCAATCTCATGCCAGGGAAGACAGTAAAAGGTATGTGACTGATACAGCCCATGGTTTCTTCAGCTATCAAAGACACCCAGTAGAACTGAAAAATCAGTCCCTCTTCTTCTTTTTTTTTTTTTTCTTTCTTTCTTTCTTTCTTTCTTTCTTTCTTTCTTTCTTTCTTTCTTTCTTTCTTTCTTTCTTTCTTTCTTTTTCTTTCTCTTTCTTTCTTTCTTTCTTTCTTTCTTTCTTTCTTTCTTTCTTTCTTTCTTTCTTATGATTGAATAGTTTTTTATTTTTTAAAAATTATTTCTAACTGGCTTATTTAGCTTAGCATAACAGCTTTTTAAGCCACTCATCAGCTGATGGGCACTTAGGCTGTTTCAAAATCTTACCTATTATAAATTGTGCTGCTATAAATATAGGGGTGCATATATTTTTTCTGAGTGGTGATTGTGATTTCTTGTGATATATTCCTAGAAGTGGGATCACTGGGTCAAATGGGAGTTCCCTTTTTTATTTTTTGAGGAAACTCCACACTGTTCTCCACAGTGGCTGCACCAGTCTGCATTCCCACCAGCAGTGTACAAGGGTTCCCTTTCAGTCCCTCTTCTGAAGTGAATTTGGGTGGAGGATGCAGAGTCAAATCAAATTTCTTAGTGACAAAAGAAATACAAAACTGTGTTGGTATAAGGAAATGAGGGCCAAAATCAACAAAACAGATGTTTATTAAGAACCTCTCACCAAGGCATAGGTAAAGTAAAATTTATTTTTAAAATTTCAGTTAAGGATAATTTTTCATTGATTTTTAGTGAGAGGGGAAGAGAAAGGAAAGAGAGAGAAACATCAACGTGAGAGAAACATATCAATTAGTTGCCTCCTGCACGTACCCCCAACAGGGCCCAGACTGGGGAGGAGCCTGCAACCAAGGTACATGCCCTTGACTTAAATAGAAACTGGGACTCTTTGGTCTGCAGGCAGACACTTTGTCCATTGAGCCAAACTGGGTAGGGCTAAACTAAAATTTCTTGATGAGACTTACTACCCTTGAAAAACCACAGACTCAATAAGAAAGTCTGTATTTAATTATAAAATTTTAACTAATTTGGAAGTTGGAATGGAAGCATTTTTAAAATAATTAAATATGGAATTTTAGTAAGTGGTAGATCCTTAATCTTTGAAGTGGTACCAGGCCTCAAACTTCAAAAACAGTTATCTTAAATCTAGAGATAGTTCTTTCTAGACTTCCCAGTCTGGTGCTGACTACTGAGTCAGCATCATCATGGTCACACCTTTACATACTGGGAGGGACTTACAGCTGTAGCAGACAAAGACATTCTCTAGTATAATAAGGTTATTCAAATTCCTGTATAGAATAAGTAAATGAGTAATGGTCCATGTGCCACATGATTTCTGGGTGGGAGATAGTGAGGGTGGAAATGGAAAGTGGGGAGGTGAGGAAGGCTGGGCCATGGCCATTTGATAAAGACCTCCTCCCCACCCCAACTAGAGAAGCCCATTTATGTGTTCTGCTTTGCTCCAGGGTTCTTCACCTGCTTTCTGACCACTCAGACAGGTACAAGCTCTGGCTGGTTTGGCTTAGTGGATAGAGAGTCAGTCTGCAGACTGAAGGGTCCTGGGTTCAATTCTTGTCAAGGGCACATCCCTGGGTTGCAGTCTCGATTCCCAGTACAGGGCATGCAGGAGGCAGCCAATCAATGATTCTCCCTCATTATTGATGCTTCTATCTCTCTTTCCCCTCTCCCTCTCTGAAATCAATAACAAAATATATATCAAAGAATATATTTTTGCCCGTCATGGCTCAGTGTTGACAATGATTTTTGAATCAGGTGGTCATGATTTGATTCACTCTTAGGGCTCATGCTCAGGTTGTGGGCACATTTCCCAGTGCAGGCATGCAGGAGGCAGCCAATTAGTGATTCTCTCTCATCATTGATGTTTCTATCTCTCTCCCTCTCCTTTCCTCTCAGAAATCAATAAAAATATATATTTTTAATTACGCACACTTGCCAAAACTGGTTTGGCTCAGTGGATAGAGCGTCGGCCTGCGGACTGAAGGGTCCCAGGTTTGATTCCGGTCAAGGACATGTATCTTGGTTGCGTGCACATCACCAGTAGGGGGTGTGCAAGAGGCAGCTGATCATCGATGTTTCTAATTCTCTATCTCTCTCTCTCCCTCTCTGTAAAAAAATCAATAAAATATATATTTTAAAAATTAAACACTTAAAAAATTAAAAAATTTTCATTATTCCATATCAAAAACTGAACATGAAAACCTGTGTAAACCCTTTAGGAAAGCAGGCTAGCAACATGAAGGCAAAGCCTATGTTCCAACCTTCTGATCTAGTCATTCCACTTCTGGGAATCTATCCCAAGGAAATAATATTAAACATAGGGAAAAAATTTATACACAAAGATTTCTTTACAATGTCATTTATAATAGCAAAATACTATAAAATTACCAACTAGCCTATGTATGGTTAAAAAAACCCATAGTGCATTCATTGGTCATAACAAAACGTAACTATTATCTAATAAAGATGATATGCAAATTGACCATCACACCATAAAGGTCAAGATGGCTGCACCCACAGCAGAAGCAGAGATTCTATAACACAAGATGGCTGTGCTCATAGTGGAGGCTGAGCTCCCATAAGGATCCTTAAGGAGCAATCAGCAGGGACCTGAGGCTGTGTGGCACTGGGCTTGGGCAGGGGACCTGAGGCTGTGCCCTCTTCCTGCGGGGGCTTGACAAGGGATCTCAGGCTGTGCCCCCCCACCCAGTGCCAGCCTGGGGGACTTCAGACTGTGCCCCTGCCTGGCAGAGCTTGACAGGAGACCTCAGGTTGCACTCCCCTCCTAGTCCATCAGGACTTGATGGGGAACTTAAGGCCGTGCCCCTCCCCCCCTGCCCCAGTGCCAGGCTGGGGGACCTCAAGCTGCACCCCCTGTCCAGCAGGGCTTGACAGGGGACCTCAGACCACACCCCCAATCCCAGCACCAGGCCAGGGGAACTGAGGCTGCGCCCCCCGCCTGGTGGGGCTTGATGGGAGACCTTAGACTGTTCTCCCTGCTCTGGCACCAGGCCAGGTGACCTGAGGCTGCTTCTGGTTCCTGGCAAGGTTTGACAGGGGTGGAGCTGGCCAGGTATGGATCTATCCCAATGGGGGTGGGACCGACCAAGTTTGGGTCTTGTGCAATTTCCAGGTGCATGTGGGTGGGCAGGGACTTGACTCTGGTTCTTGTGGTGCGTCCCAGACTCTGGCAGGAGGGAGACTTTTAGATACATTTTACTAATTTTCTTTCATCTGTGACACTTCTATTATAGAGAAAGGGCAAATAGCAATATTAAAATATCTCCTCTAATTAATCCCCTTTTAATGTGCACGAAATTCATGCACCAAGTCAAGAGTAAATTAATAATGTTTATAAAAAAACAGTGAATAGCATGGAAAAAGCTTTCTTATTAAGTGAAAATGTACTATAACAAAATTATATAAATTGTATGATTTATAACGATGTAAAACAATGAAATTCAAAATAAACAATGCATAGAAAAGAATCTATGATAATTGGATTTGTTTTTCTTTTTTCTTCTCTTCTAAATTTTCTACTACAAAGATATATAACTTTCACCATAGCTGGTTTGGCTCAGTGGATAGAGCATCGGCCTGCAGACTGAAGGGTACCAGGTTCAATTCAGGTTATGGGCACATGCAGGCTCAAACCCCAGTAGAGGGCATACAGGAGGCAGCCGATCCATGATTCTCTCTCAGCATGGATGTTTCTAGCTCTTTCTTCCTCTCCTTCCTCTCTGAAAACAATGAAAATAAAAATATTTTTAAAAAGATATCTATCTCAAAGTGAAGGACATAAAAAAAGATTAGGAAGGCCACTTCATAATATTAAAGTAAGCAATCCAAAAATAAGAAATAACTCTGGTAAACATATATGCACCCAATATAGGAGTACCCAAATATATTAAAAAAAAAAAAAAAAAAACCTCATAGAGGATATCAAGGGAGAGATTGACAGCAATACAATCATAATAGGGTACTTTAATACTCCACTATCACTATCGGACAAATCCTCTAAACAAAAAATCAGCAAAGAAAGAGCAATCCTAAATGACTCACTAGACCAGATGGAATTAATTGACATCTTCAGAACATTTTACCCCAAAGCCACAGAATATACATTCATCTTAAGTGCACATGGTTCATTTTCAAAGATAGATCATATATTGGGTCACAGGCAAAGTCTCCTCAAAATCAAGAAGATATAAATCTCAGTAAGCATCTTCTCAGATTACAATGGCATAAAACTGGAAATCAACCACAATAAAAACAATCCAAAAAAAAAAATCAAACACAAGGAGACTAAATAGCATGCTATTAAACAATGACTGAGCCGAAACCGAATTGGTTCAGTGGCTAGAGTGTCAGCCTGCAGACTGAAGGGTCCCGGGTTCAATTCTTGTCAAGGGCATGTACCTTAGTTGCAGGCACATTCCCAGTAGGGGCCGTGCAAGAGGCAGCTGATCGATGACATTGATATTTCTAACTCTGTATATCTTTCCCTTGCTCTCTGTAAAAAATCAATAAAATATATCAAATAAAATGACTGGGTTACCAGAGAGATCAAAGAAGAAACAAAAAAACATCATGGCAACAAACGACAATGAAAACACAAC